GTGTGCCACCACACCCAGCTAATTTTTTGTATTTTTAGTAGAGATGGGGTTTCGCCATGTTGGTCAGGCTGGTCTCGAACTCCTGACCTCAAGTGATGCGCCCGCCTTGACCTCACAAAGTCTTGGGATTACAGGTGTGATCCACTGTGCCCAGCCAATACTGCATTTTTTACTGTACCTTTTCTATGTGTTGTAGAAACACACATAGGCATTGTGTTACAACTGCCTACAGTATTCAGCACACTCCTATGCCATACAGGTTTTTAGCCTCGGAGCAATAGGCTATCCCTTAGAGCCTAGGTTTGCAGCAGCCTCTACCATCTAGGTTCGTGGGAGTAAACTCTATGATGCTTGCACAATGACAAAATTGCCTAAGGACACATTTCTCAGAACGTATGTCTGTTGTTAAGCGATAGATTACTGTATGTGTGTGTATATGTGTGTGCATGTGTATGTATTTGTACATTTTTTGTACTATCTATAATACAATTACAAAATATCTGTGATTTCTAATGACAAAGTCACAGGTATTGCCAATGCTAGTGTGATTTGTTGCTGACATTCATAATGGAGGGAAATGCTAGATATCAGGTAAGGATGAGAGAAAATGAAGTTGTAACTTTTTCATGCAAGTTCCTGGACCTGGGAATTCTAATCCATTTGAGATCTCTCACGTTTAGAATCCCTGAGCAAAAGGATTAATTCCCTCCAAATAGCTGACTTGAAGACCCTGCATCCATTCAGAGAAGTTGTTGCTCACCCTGGCCAGGTGTGGTGGCTCATGCCTGTAACTCTAGCACTTAGTGAGGCCAGGGAGGGGGTGTTGCTTGAGCCTGGGAGTTTGAGACCAGCCTCGGCAACATAGTGAGACCCTACGTCTACAAAAACTACAAACGTTAGGTGGGTGCAGTGGCCCATGCCTGTAATCCCAGCACCTAACAGAGGCTGGGGTGGGAGGATCACTTGAGCTCAGGAGTTCAAAACTAGCCTGGGTAACATGGCGAGACCCCATATCTACTTGGGAAAATAAAATTAAAAAGATGGTTGCTCATTCTAATAATGGTTAAATGCTTGGTGTGAGGTGGCCAGCAGGGGGCAGCATATGAGCGGGAGCGCGGGGCTCATTTCAGGAACTAAGGCCCAGTTAAAGTCTGAGGGCCTGGTTACACACACACACACACACACACTCTCTCTCTCTCTCTCTCTCTCTCTCTCACTCACTCACACACAAAACTAGACCCAAGTCCTACCTGCTTGCTACCTGTCTTCTTGCATTAGGGGCCAGTTCACACACAGGTGTGCTGAATGGGCCCACTGGACAGAGATTTGACAGAGGGCCCCCCTGGAGGAGATGGCCTAGCCTGGGATATAAGGTAGGTTTGTCTGAGCTCCCAGAGTCTCAGGACCTGAGGCAAGCAAATGGGTCCCAGTAGGATTCTCCCAGGAAACATTTGCCCTGCGTTTGGGGGCCTAGGTGTCATCAAGACACAGGCCCAGGGTTGGACAGAGCTGGCGTGCAACATTGCCTGAGGTCTTGGCAAAGAGCTTGCACACAGCCAGGGCCAGGCTGGGGCAGGTGGGCCTTCCTCTTTGGTGTACCCCCTGGCCATGCCTTCCCCACTCCCTATCCTACCTCAGCCCTCCAGCCCTGCATTTAGCCTTCCAGCCTCTGCTGGGGAGGGTGCTGGGGTAGGTGGGGTTCTATTATGGGGTCTTTTGCAGACCTATCCTCTCGGAGATAGGTGGTGGCTGGCCCCCTGGGCCCGACCCCAAGAAGAGCTTTGTCTTTTTTTTTTTTTTTTGAGACAGAGTCTCACTCTGTCACCCAAGCTGGAGTGCAGTGGTGCAATCTCAGCTCACTGCAACCTCCACCTCCCAGGTTCAAGCGATTCTCCTGCCTCAGCTCCTGAGTAACTGGGATTAAAGGTGCCTACCACCACACTTGGCTAATTTTTGTATTTTTAGCAGAGGCGGGGTTTTACCATGTTGCCCAGTCTGGTCTCTAACTCCTGATATCAAGTGATCCACCCATCTCGGCCTCCCAAAGTGCTGGGATTACAGGCATGAGCCACTGTGCCTAGCCACCAAGAAGAACTTTCTTTTCTTTTCTTTTCGTTTCTTTTCTTTTCTGTTCTGTTCTTTTTCTCTTTTCTTTTCTTTCCTTTTCTTTTCCTTTCTTTTCTTTTTCTTTTTTTTTTTTTTTTGAGACAGAGTCTCACTCTGTTGCCCAGGCTGGAGTGCAGTGGTGCAATCTCGGCTCACTGCAACCTCCGCCTCCCGGGTTCAAGCGATTCTCCTGCCTCAGCCTCCCTCCCTAGTATCTGGGATTACAGGTGCCCGCCACCACGCCCAGCTAATTTTTGTATTTTTAGTAGGGACGAGATTTCACCATGTTGCCCTGGCTGGTCGCGAACTCCCGACCTCAGGTAATCTGCCTGCTGGGGCCTCCCAAAGTGCTGGGATTACAGGTGGGAGCCACCGCGCCCGGCCTTCATCCAAGAAGAGCTTTCTAAGCAGAGGTCCCCCTTGTGGCTTCTCTGGGAGCTGGGGTTCATGTGTGTGCTTTTGGCTCCCACATCTGCCCCATCTCTTTTGAAACAGTGCTGCAGTGACACCAACCCCACCTGGAGGTGACACCTAGGGGGTGAGTCTGACGTGGGAGGGAGTGAATCCCTGACCCTCCGGAGACCACTCTGCAGGACCAGCAGTACACACAGCACCAGGACATGCTCCACTTTGTCACCTGTGGAACTCAGGGCCTCAAACCACTTGGCAGCTCTTTCAGCCAGGAACAGATTGGAAACAGAAAGGCACAGCCTGGACAGGGCAGCGACTCCTTCTTGCATGAGGAGATGGGGGTGCAAAGAGGGAGTGGGCAGGCCTCAGAGGCAAGGGGTCTGGGGGAGGGCATCCCCTCCATTCCTCTGGCCAGGGCAGCCTCTTCCCTGCATCTCTTTGGAAGTTCTCCTGGGAAGACACCCTGCCCACCTGCTCCTCAGCCTCCCCAGTGGGTCAAGAAGTCTTCCTAGATGCCTCACTCTTTGGATTAGAAACTTCTCAGTTCTGGGTGAGGGTGGGAGGTACGTCATAGGCCCAGGGAATCTGCCATCAGAGTGGCCTGGCCGTTTTGCTTAGGGAGAGGCGGCCAGAAATGAAGGCTTGGTAGTGAGACCAGAAGGCACTTGCTTTATTGTTCTAGGACAGGGGACAATGACAAGCCATTGAGGGATCTGCTTATGCCTCCTCTGAGCCTGGGGCCAACCTCTGGAAGTTCTTGTTACCCCCAGGCCCAGGGTGGGCTGAGGTTCCCCCTTGGTGGGGTCAGGCTCATGGCAGGCACCTGGGCTACACCCCACAGCGCCACGGGTATCCCTTGTGCTTCCCGGGCACCCTAGGTCTGCCAAGCAGTCATAGCAGGGGTGCTTTGCATGGGTGCTTCCCTGCTACCCTGTGCCAGGCTTTTTTCCTGAATACCTAGGTTGCCTGAGACAGTTGGAAGTAACTAACAGGTGTTCCTCAACTTATGATGGGGCTACATCCGTAGAAACCCATCATGAGTGGAAAACATTGTAAGTCAAAAGTGGTTTTTGACTTCCGGTGGTTTCAATTTACGATGTGTTTATCAGACATAACCGTATCCTAAGTTGAGGAACGTCCTGAATGTGTATTGCTTTTGCACCATCCTAAAGTTGAAAAAGTGTAAGTTCCATCCTGGTGAACATGGTGAAACCCCGTCTCTACTAAAAAATACAAAAAACTAGCCGGGCGAGGTGGCGGGTGCCTGTAGTCCCAGCTACTCAGGAGGCTGAGGCAGGAGAATGGCGTGAACCCGGGAGGCGGAGCTTGCAGTGAGCCGAGATCCGGCCACTGCACTCCAGCTCGGGAGACAGAGCGAGACTCCGTCTCAAAAAAAAAAAAAAAAAAAAAGAAAAAGTGTAAGTTGAACCTTCGTAAGTAGAGTTAAGCCGGGACCTAAACTATGTGAACTTTTCTTTCTGGTGGGGGAGTGAGACTGTGGTGACCTGGAGGCGGCCCTTCCTGCACCCGGGACTGGGGAAAAAGGACATGTTCAAGTTTCCGAGGGCAAGGGCTTTTCCAAACACTGCTTCAGAAATTGGGCTCAGTTTGGTCCCCGGGTAGATGTTGCCCCTCCTGTGTGTCACCCTGGGGGAAGCTGGACACAGCATGTACTAAGGATGGGTAGAGACTGGCTGAGCGGGTGCTGCCAATTAGCAGCTCCTGGGGGAGTCCACAGACAACCCAGGGAGGAGCTCTCTATCTCCTCCTTCTTGCTGGGCTTTTGGGACGAAGATGGGGGAATAAATACAGGGGGCTTCTGGGAAAGAAAGTGATGAGGGGGCCAGGCCTCCAGAGCATGTGGGTGTCAGAATGGGGGTCTGGGGGAATCTTTGGCCTGGCACAGGGCCTGAGCTTTTGGTAAGCAAAGCCCTCAGCTCTCAGTTGCCCCAGAAACGAAGTCGGGCTCTCAGTGATGGAGTGCTGGTTCCTCTGGCTGTAAGGTATGTGGGTGGGTGTACATCTGAATAACTGTGTGTGTGTGTGTGTGTGTGTGCGCGCGCACGAGGGCTTGAGTGTGGATGAGTATGAGCTAGGAACAGTGCATTTTCTTCTTGCCCAGACACTTGCTCTTTGGGGGCCCTGGGTGAGGAACTGGGCCACCACATGGCAGAAATGTGTGAGGGGCAGCACCCCAGGTGGTGTCCTCTGTGCCCCCAGCTACCAACTAACACGTATGTTGGCTTAGTGGCACAGGGGACAGGAGTATTTTCCTTCCTTGACCTTTAAGGTGAGCCCGATGTGGGCGGCCAGCCAGGACTTCCAGACCAGGCAAATGCTGGAGCTGATGATGCTGGGCACAGCTCATGCCAGGGCCATGGGCTTGGAGCTGGGGCTGAGGTACACAGAGGGGCCTGCAGAGGCCGGAGGGGGCGTAGGCTCCAGCTCCATAAAGGCAGAGTAGAGGGTGGTGAGTTGCAGGTCACCCAGTGCCCCGGAGCCCCCACTGCCCGGGGATGCCAAGTCACCTGCCCCACTGCCTGTCTCTGTCAGACAGGGCCCAGGGGGGAAGCTGTGGGGTGGTGGCTGGGGTGGCTGCATCGAAGATGATGTCGGGGATGAGGTCACCAGTACCAGGGGGTCGAGGGCCAAGCTGTCATCCTTCAACTGTTCCCACAGGTTTCCTAGTTGGGGGAGATGGGGAAGGAGAGAACAAGTGTCAGTGGGAGGCACTGGAGGAGTCCTGTCTGGCCCCTCTTACCCGTCAGTTTTCCCATGCTGCAGAGAGCAGGGGTCAGGGTGACATGTGCTGGGAACAGACCCCAGCACTAGCTTTGTGACCCCAGGCAGTTGCTGAACCTCTCAGCCTCAGATTCCTCCTCCCATGTAGCCCAATCTGAAAGCCATTGATCTAGAAGACCTCTGTGGTTCTTTTTGGGGGTGGGCATTGCGGAGGGGTTGATGCCTGCTGGCAGCATGGATGCCAATGTTGTGCACTCGGGAGTGAACCCTGACTCCTGCCTAGTCTCCCACGGAAGGTAGATTTGCAGCCCAGCTCAAGGAGCTTCCAGCAGTGTACTCTGGACCTAATGGGATGGATGGGCATGGCTCCCTGGGTCTCCTCCACTGCAGGGCCCAGGGAATGGGAGCAGAGCCAGGATGCACCCCTGAGTCCAAGGAGCAAACAGTGCTGCCACCTATGCCATGGGACTCGCATCATGGCTGGCGAAGGCCTGGGGCTCCTGCACTGGGTATTCAGGCTGCAAGCTCTGGAGAGAGAGGGCCTGACTAAACCCTGGATTGGATTTGGCCGCCTAGGTTCCAGTCCCAACTCTCCCTCTTTCTAGCTAAGTGACCTAGAGTAAGTTCTCAAGCCTCTGTGTGCTTCCATGAAGCAGGTTTAATAATCCCTCTTATCCTCTAGGCCCAGATGAGAAAGCACTTAGGGAGCAGCCAGCCTGATACCTTATGCCTAGCAGGGGCTCAAGTAAATGTTTTTCATGCCCCACATATCTGTAGCTTCCTCTGAGGCTGATTGAGCCCTGCTCCCCACTTCTGGACCGGGCTGAAGATCTATGGGCACTTTTCTTTTTCTTTTTTTTTTTTTTTAGTAGAGACGGGGTTTCACCGGGTTAGCCAGGATGGTCTCGATCTCCTGACCTCGTGATCCGCCCGTCTTGGCCTCCCAAAGTGCTGGGATTACAGGCTTGAGCCACCGCGCCCAGCCCTATGGGCACTTTTCTAATAATAGCTTCCCAAACCTGGGCTGTCTCCGCATCAGGTTGGGAGCTCTCTGAGGACAGGCTGCCTCCATCAGCTTGTGAATATTCCCTACCCCTGTGCATACAGAGAGTCTGAGGCCTGGATCATCACCCTGTTCCAAACCTTCTGTGGCCAGTACCGGGGCCTGGGGTGCACTGGAATTTAGATGGGAATGGGTGGGCTTGGCCATCTGCAGAGATGGAGCAGCCAAGATGGAGTGGAATGGGTAGAACCCGCCTCAAACTCCTATCTCCAAATCTCTCCAGGGCTTGCCCATCTCTGAGGCCTTCCATTCCTCTAGGGTAGAGTCTCTCTCCTTCTGCTTTAGAAGATGAACTCTGATAAAATGCAAATGCATCTGAGAATGTTCAGACTACTGGTCACTCACAATCGAGTATGAAATAGAACATGGAGCCCTTTGCAGTCTATCCAGAGCTGAGAGTGGTTTTTTGTTTGTTTGTTTCTGAGGCAGAATCTCACTCTGTCACCCAGGCTGGAGTGCAGTGGCGCGATCTCGGCTCACTGCAACGTCAGCCTCCTGGGTTCAAGTGATTCTCTAGCCTCAGCCTTCCGAGTAGCTGGGATTACAGGTGCGTGCCACCGTGCCCGGCTAATTTTCGTATTTTAAAATGGAGACAGGGTTTTGCCATGTTGGCCAGGCTAGTCTCAAATGCCTGACCTCAGGTAATCTGCCCACCTCAGCCTCCCAGAGTGCTGGGATTCTAGGCATGAGCCACCGTGCCCGACCAAGAGTGGTTTGATGATGAGATCAGTCGGACCACGTTTGGAGCACCAGGAGGAGGGAGACAGGGGCAAGGACATCCCTCTTTCCCTATTCTCTGGATGGCAGAGAGCAAGTGGGCAGCTCTCCCTGCCAGGTCCAGCCTCCTCTGCTTCAGTTGACCAGAAACCCAGCCACTTGCAGACTGTAGCCTGGAGACTTGGAGACGATGAGTTCCACTGCCAGGTGGCCGTCTCCAGTCCTGTACCACCTTCCCTTTCCCACCCCCAGCTCACCCTGGAAGTCGAAGTCAGTGAGTGAGGGATTGATGGCATCCAGGTCAGTGCCAAGGTCTCCATCTGGCAGCAGGGTGTCGTGCACAGTCCTGGCTGGGGAAGGCTCGGCCAGTAGCTTGGCACTGTGACTGGGTGGGGTGTGGGCAGGCAGAGGCGAGTCCTGGGGGGTGCCTGGCTGGGCCCGCAGCTCAAGGTGCCCGTCCGGCTGTGGGAACAATGGCTGCGGGGGTCCAGGAGGGGCCAGGCCTGGTGAGAGGTGCAAGTATGTCTGCCCATAGCAGGAGGGTGCGTGCCCCACAAGTAGGTCCTGCAGGGAATTCTTGCCAGGAATGGGGCCTGGAGCTGGGTGGAGTGAGTGCAGCGGCGGGGAGAGGCCAGCTGGGGGTGCCAGGGGCCGGATGGGGCCTGAGCCTGCCAGCCCAGGGGGTGGACAGCCCAGGAGCGGGGAGCCCAGCTTTTCTCTCTTGTCTCCAATGAGGCTGTCCAGCTCTTCTGAAAGGCCCAAGAGAGAAAGAACACCATGAGACCTCCCTCCTCCACAGCCTTCCCCGTCCTGGAACCGTCACTCAGGGCCTTGCCTCATTCTCCGATTCTCTTTTTTTTTAGCTCATGGGTACCCTGGGCCCTTCCTTGCGTGGCCCGGCCAGCCTCACCTGGCTTGGCCATGCTTTTGCGCACAGCAATGGGATCTTTCCTCTTCCACTTCTGCAGCTCCTCTTGCATCTTGTCGATCTTGGCCGGATTGAGGGCCCACAGGCAGCCCTTGCGGGAGGAACTTCCCGATTTGTTCTCCACCTTCTCGAAGCACTTGTTGAGGGATAGGTTGTGCCGGACAGAATTCTTCCAGCCATCGGGCGCTGTCTGCCAGAGCAGAGCAAGACAAGCATTCAGGCTGGGCTCAGGGAGCCAGAGCGGACTTCAGGTCTGGGTTCTAAAACACTCCTGTGCCTCCTCTGGGCACAGAGCTGCCGCCCACTCGGGGGCTTGTTGTCCTCCTCAGCACCCAGCCCTTGCTTGGTACCCTTCGGTGGTAGGGGAGGGATGAACAGGAACCCTGACCCCAAGTTATTTTCATCTCAAATCTGCCTTCATCCCACCCTCATCCCTGCCTGACCCCTCAGAGGACTGTCGAGATGATTCGGAAAGCCAGGGCTGGTAGGTGCTGCAGAGGCCTTCTGGCCCACAACACCCTCCCATCCGAAGCTCAGCCATCCCCAGTGGGTCTCCAGGCCTGTGCTTGGACCCCTCTGTGGAAGGGGGACTCACTACTCTAAGGTCTTGTGGCTGGTTTTAGAGAGGGGAATTAGGGGAAGAATGCTCCTCTCCCGGGTATGCCTTATCCCCTCTGGGACTAACTTGGGAGAAAAGAAAGATGGGCGAGGGTTGTGAGTGGGTGTGTGTGGTATGTGCATTGCACATGTGTTTGTGTGTCTATGTGGGTTTGGTATATGAAGGGACAGTGCGTATGAGCATGTGCACGCGTCCCTAAGTGTGTCTTCCTGGCATAAGCAACGTCTCCTGGCTACGGGTCCATGAATTCCTCGAGTGTGAGGATGGCCGTGTGTGAGAAAGTCTCTCTGGGTGTGACTGTGGGTAGCCATGATTGTATGATGTGTGGGTGTGAGTGTTTGCATGAGTGTGCCCGGGGGGCGTGTCCTGGTGGGGAGGCCAGCCCTCAGGCGGTGGGGGGGATGCTCGTGCCAACAGAATAAACACCCATTAGGAGGCCTGGTCATGCCACCAGTGCGGTAATTGTGCCCAGGGAGGGTTGTAAAAACCATTAGGCTGACTCAGTTGGGTGAGAGGCGGTGGCGGGAGTGCCAGTGGGCCCCTGCCCGCCCACCTCCAGCTCTCTTCCAGGCTCTGTGACAGCCCTGAGCTCAGCGGGGGCTGACTGTGGGTAGGGCACTCGCTCTGGCCGGTGAGGCTCCTTTGCCCTCATTACCTGACCCCTCCCCCTTTCAGCCCAAAGTTTCTGCTTAATGAGGGGCAGCCACTCCCTCCTCCCCAGCTCACTTGCCCCAGGGAGCAGCCAAGCTGAATCATGCCCAGCAGAACTGGGTCCTGATGCCAGCGTCACTCCAAGTGGCTGGCAGGACCTGGTGCAGCCTATCTTGGGGGCAGCTGGCCTGGGGCAGGGAGCTGGTTGAGGTGACCCCCAAGGCTCCCAGGGTCACCAGGGAGGATTCCTGAGCCACCAGACCAGCCAACTTGGGATTCACCTTCGACTCCCACCGCAGTCTCCACTAGGAGTTAAGGCCACGTTGCCCCATGGGAAGAGTTAATGGGCACTGGGGCCTTTTATGGCCCCATAAATCTGTGACTTTGGGATGCCAGGGCAGCCCCCACCCCAGTCACTTCCTGTTTGGAAGAGGGATGGTCAGCACTAACAATTATGTCCAGTGGCTGGACACTTCTCCAGTCCCATGTCCCTGACTCATGGTGCTATGGGACGCCTGCAGCAGCTGCCTTGGGCATGAGTGCTGGCCACTCCAGGGTCCAGTCTATCCTCACCCAGAAAAATGATCTTCATATGGGAAGTGAGAGATGGAAAGAGGTGGGGAATCTTTGAACTAAGGAATTTCCTTAGGTGGGTCAGAGGGGAACTGTCAGAGTCAGAAGGAATCTATGTGCCAACTAATCTGACCCATTTTACAGACTGGGAAACTGAGGTTCAGAGAAGAAAGGGCCTAGCCCTGGATCACACAGGGAGGCAGTGACAGAGCTCAGCTTCCAACTCTGTCCCCCAGCTAAGGGCCCTGCCCAGGTCACCCCATAGAACCTGTCTCACAATCTGGGACCCATCCCATCCTCACAGATGCTTTCTCTCTGAGATCAAATGTAAACTCAGGAGTGAGGGAATGATGCAAGTGGCTAACAACAACAACTAGAACCAAAGGGAACAAAAAGCAGTTAGACCTCTTCACTCCTCAGCCCCATAAAACAGGGATTACACAGCTCCCAGGAAAAATAATTAAGCGCGGAAGATGGGATGTGGGGAGGGGCTGGGGGCCCGGCCAGGAGCTGGTGGGGAGGGAAGGCTGAGAGGACTGGGCTTTTCCCTCTCTCTGTCTTGGCCCCTTGAAACCCTAGAAGACCCTCCAAAAGCTTTAGGGGTTAGGGAGAGTTCAGCCCCTGACCTGTTGGGGTATCGAGGGCTGCCCTGAATTCAGGCTTTGATGCTTCTTGAATTCCGGGGACGACTCGCCTCCCTCCCTCTTTCCCTTCCAGAATCTCTGGTGGATCAACACACTTTTCCACTCCTGGCCAGACCACTCCGGCCATCTTGCCCACTCCCCATCTGACGGCAGCCCAGCGGGATAAACTTGTTTGAACATCAAGTCTCAAATTATCCCCAGGCAGGACCATAGATGGTGGGAGCAGGAATCACCCCCTGGCAGGTGGAGCTGAGTTCTGGATTACTTGGGTCTCAGCACCTGCCCACTGCCTGGGTGACAGATGAGATTTGTGTCTACTAGGGCTTGGAGAAGGCACTCTTCACACGCAATCTCCGGTCTCCCCCACACCCACCCCAGGAGAAGGAGGTCTGTGCTGGAGGGTCTAGGGGGCATGCAGAGAGGGGTGTGCAAAGCCAAACAGCTTGATCCAGTAACTGATTGCATCTACTGTGTGACCTTGGGAGAATGGACCACCCTGTCTGATGTGTTTGTCCACCTTGGGAGAAGAGCCCCTGTCCTGCCTCTAGAGGGGGAGGTGGGTAAGGCTTCCAGAAGCCCCTTCTGTGAATGATAGAAATGAGATTCTGCCCAAGGGGTTGGGGGAGAGTCAGGTGAGCCAGCCTGGGACACTCAAAGACTGGGAAGCCCACACCCCACTTTCTGGCAGAACTACAGCTGAGCCTGCCACCCACAGAGGCAGATCTAATCTCACCTTGGAAGGCAATGGCTTCTTCAGCCCTGATCTCCCAGCCACCGTGGCTGACCAGCTTCTCCAGCCCCACAGCGTCCCAGGGGTCGGGGTAGCAATAGTGTCATTTCTTCTCCAACTTTCTCTTCCCACTTGGGGTAGGTGGATGCTCCCTGACGCCCATCGGTGCTAACATGTCCACCTTCCCCAGCAGAAGGTCTGACTCCAGCCTACTGTGCAACCTTGGATGAGCCGCTCGGGCTCTCTGTTCCCCACATGAAGCCCCTTTTGTAGGAACTCTGTCCTTCTGGGGTGGAGACAAGGGAAAGCATGGTGGGGGTAAGCCCTCTCCTGGCTTTTGTTCTAATTCTTCTCCCGCCTCCAGACTGAATCCTCTGGCTCAGAGAGTCCTGGCTTGTCCAGGACTTGGGGGTGATGGGATGGGGAGGAATCTTGGGCTCACCTTGAAGTAAGGAAAGTGCTCCGTCATAAAATTGTAGATCTCGCTGACGGGAAGGCTTCCAGTTTTACTGTTCTTAAGGGCCATGAAGATGAGGATGCTGAAGACAGAGAAAGCCCCTGAGAGTCTGAATCTCTGACTGGGTCCCGAGCCCACCCCGAGCCCCCCACCACTGGCGAAAGGCTCTATGGGATTGGAGTTGAAAGGGGAGGGAATGAGAAGGTGTCCATTAAAGTGGACATGGAAGTCAGGAATTACAGATGCGGGAGGGTCTTGCGGAATCTGAGAAACCTGGGTGGCTATCCTGGCCTAGTTACTCTCTGGCTGTGTGACATTGGGTGAATGCCTTACCCTCTCTGAACCTCAGTTTCCTCAACTTTGAAGTAAAGAAAATAATAGCTACCTCAGAGTTGTGAGGATGAAGGATGGTGCCTGTCACATAGAAGGCACTCATTAAACGGAAGCTGTCATTACTAGTCAGTCGTTAGCCAGTTGCATAAACGTTGGAGAGTAGGGAGGGAACTAAGGTTTCTTGAGCCTCTGCAATGTACCAAGCACGGTACCTACATTCTCTTACTTAATCCTTCCAACAGCCTGAACTGCTGCCCCAAACCCTGACAAGTTTTTTCTTTTGATCTTATAAGTCTTATATTTTTATTTCTTTTTTATTATACTTTAAGTTCTGGGATACATGTACAGAACGTGCAGGTTTGTTACATAGGTATACCCGTGCCATGGTGGTTTGCTACACCCGTCAACCCGTCGTCTACATTAGGTATTTCTCCTAACGTTGTCCCTCCCCTAGCCCCCCACCCTCAACGTGACATTTTTTTTTAAGAGGAATGAATAGAATACATAGAGGCTCAGAGAGATTAAGTAACTTCCCTGAGGTTTCACACTAGTCAGTCCCAGAGCTGGTCTTGAACTCATTTCTGCTGGACTCCAAGGCCTGCATGTGTGTCTTTCAGTGAATGACCCTGCCTTTCACAAAGCCCTTCTCTGCACTCCTGGCTGATGTTTAAGTTCCTCTCCCTTCCCCTCAGCTCACACTAGCTGATGACCCGATCCCATGTACGGCCTGACGCATATTTGGTCAAGTGTCACTGTTGGTTGGAATGAATGAAGGGACAGATGGAAGGGTCTCCCAGACAGGCTGGGTCTGCTGACACTTAAGAGGCCAGCCCCAGAGAAGTCCCACCAGGTCTGGCAGATGGTGGATAGCTGAGTCACATCTGCAGGCCTCACCCCTATTTCCTTCCAGTGGAGCTTTGAGTGGGGGGCTTCCCTCTGTTTCTGGGGAGGGACAGGGAAGGCAGCAAGCATCTCCCCTAAATTATCAGACCCAGGCCCTGGGCTCTAGGAGGTGAGACCTTGGCAGGCTCACCCCAGGGCACCAGCATCTGCTGAGTCAAGCCACAGACATGACTCTCCAGGCTTAGACAAAGGATCAGAGGTGATCCAGTCTATGCCCCTGCCTCCATGCAGGAACCCTCTCTCCAGCATCTTCTGGAAGCCCACTGGTATGATTTCCACCCACTGCCATTACGGGTAGACCCAGAGGATTCCATGCCTCAGTGTTTCCAAGGGCCCTCTCACTCCCCTGCTCCTGCCACCCCTGGAGTGTGAGAAATGTACCTGTAGGAATAGATGGGTTTTGGGAAGAGAGGCTGGTGCCCATCGGTGCTGGCCTGGGGTGCCATTCGCTGGTACGGATAGTGTGAGGAGCTCAGGTAGGGTACGGGGTAGCTGCCGCCACCTGGCGAGTACTGAGGAGGTCAAAAGGGGCAGAGTGATTGCCATGGTACCCAACCTTTCCCAGGAGGGCTCCCCTCCCCCATTTATATACATCCAGAGAAGGAGCTCAGGCCAGATTCTTCCCTCCTGAGTCATGGGCCCCATCACCCCCAGTGCAGAGCTCTCTGAGGGGCTGTGAGGAGATCCACACCCTGTAATTCAGGATCTCAGAGGTCTTAAAGCCCCCTTCCTCCAGCTCCTTCCTCTCAGACCCTTAGATGCTCTGGTCGCCATGGTGACGGGATCCTGCAGGGAGAGTATGAAGTGAAGCCCTCGGCCCCTGCACCCTTCCAGGAAGGTGCTCCCAGTGCCCGTGCATCTCCTGGAGCAACTGGGCCGGAAGTGGGATGTCCAGCCTGGGTGTTTGCTGGGCACTGCCACGTTTTATGAGTTTCAGTGGCTCTTTGAAAGGGCCGGTCATGGTGGTGAGCAGGTGGGGGTAGGAGGTGGTTTTACAGCAAAGGGAGTGGCTGCGGTGCCACGGATGGTGTTTTATGGAGGATGGTGGTAGGAGACTCTGACTCCCCCAGCTGCTCCAGCCTGAAGAGCTCTTTCCAGGTCACCCAAGAGACATTTAGTGCCTGAGTCACCCTCTGTCCAGGTTCCATAAAGCCCTGGGTGCGGCCATCTTGTTGAGAGGGGGTGCAGACTGCAGAGGGCATCAAAGCGGGGCCAGGCATGGTGAGGTCATTTAAGGTCTGGTGACCCCTTAGTTCTTCTGTGGCTCAATCTCTGTCCCTGCCTCAGGGACATTCTCTACCCTGGGTCAGACCATGAGCCTCAGGATAACTTTGGCCGTTCCACCCAGGCCCCTCACGGCAAAGAGGATGTCCTCTCATGCCTTCTCTTTGCTTCCCTCTATCTCTTTCTTTTGCCTGCAAAGCTGGCAGTCTGACCCAACCCCTCTCCCTTGCCTTCCTCCCTGGCTTGGCTGAGATCCGGGCCAGTGCCAGAGAGCCGGGTGTAGAACCTGCTCCACAGGCAGGGCCTGTCTCAGTGCCAGGCTGCAGGTGGATGGAGCTGGGCGCTGGGCAGCCACTTGCTCTGTCTTGCCTGGTGACTCCTGGGAGCTGCCTGGCTGCTCTGGGGCTCTTTTCTTTCTCCTTTAAGACTCCTCCATCCCATGCCAGTGTGGGGCAATTACTTGGCATCCTGTACACTTGGGAGGAGCTGAAGCTGGGAGAGGAGGAAAGGGCTGAAGATGATGGGGACTTGGAGTCCTCTGGGTGGGAAGGTCCCCTAACCCCACACTGGGTGCCCACGCTCTCTAGGCTAATAGAAGTTGGAGGCCAAGGTCACATAGCAAGATGGTGGCTGACTATACAGAAGCCCTTGTTCCTCACCCTGCTCAGCCTGTGTTTCACACCACACCCTCCTCTTCTCTTTGCCCCTCTCCCTGTCTGGGGCAGCTCTCCTCCTTCCCCTGTTTCTGGCTCACATCACAGCCCTGCCTCCATCTCAGCCCCACACTCTTATCTGAGGCCTCTCAGGCCTTGCCAGGGACTCAGACGAGCCCACCTCTGGAGGGGTGCAATTGCCTCTCTTCCCATTAACTACTCCTGCAACCTGCTGTGGCCCAGCCTAAGGTTCAGGGCCCTGCAGTCCTTACCTGCCCATCCTGGTGTACCCACACCATCACATAGACACCCACACACCACATACACACACACAATATCCTGACACCTGGGGGAAGCAGGCCCACTTGCCCCAGACCCACCTGCTGGAAGGGGGGCTGGGAGGAGCAGTACATATGCTGCAAGGGAGGCTGGTAGCAGAACATCCCAGCACCGCTCTCCAGAACTGGGGGCTTGACCTTGACCTCTGAACCCTGCTGGAAGAGAAAGCAGATGACTAGGTTAGGCCTTATTTTCTCCCTTCCTCTTTCCTGTGTCTTGAACCTTTATATCAAAGCAACCCCTACTCTGCCTCCCCCAAAGCTTATTCCTGGAGAACAACAGAGAACAGAGAAGGGCAGGGATTTTCTCAAGGGAACTCAGCAATTTAGTGGTAGAGCCGGGGCTGGAACGGACAGCAGTCCCTACGCCTCCCCTCACTGCAGGGGAGAGGCTGAGGCTGGGCTGTCCCGAGAAGTCTTGTGCTGGGGTAGGGACAGGGATCTTCTGGAATAGCACAAGGGTGCAGTGCTGACCTCACTCGACACGCCTGGCTCAGAGTCCTCAGACCCTCTAAGTAGGTGTGCAAAGGACACCAGGAAAAGGTCACAGCTCCAGAACTCTCCCTGAGGATCCATGGTGAGGGGAGCATGGGTAGTGGCCAGATAGGCTGGTCCAGCTGTGGCCCTGGGTCCCTTCTGTTTCCTCCTCTGTACAGCCCCAGGAAGCCCCAGCAGGATCTCTGGATGGGGCTGGTAGCTCCTCTCTGCTCTGACTCCTGGCCATCCCTGACACAGAGCTTTGCTTCCTGTTCCAGGGGGTCTACACAGTTGCTGGCCTGTGTGAGCCCTGTGGACGCTCTCACGCTGGGCATGGGGAGCCTGCAGCTGCTGCTAGGCGTGGTGGCCAGACCCTGCCTTCCCATGCGTGAGAGGCCAGCACAGAGTCCCAGGGCCTAGTGCAGAGCTCTCCCATGAGTAGGGACAGGAGGGTGTGCAGCTAGGCCCTGGAAGGTGGATCAGCCCTGGAGGAGGTGAACTGTGCTTCCTGGGGTTACCAGGGGCCTTGGGAAATCAGATCTGGGCCCAGAGGGGCAAATCAGCTGTGACCTCTCTCTGGGTGTGCCCTGGGGTTGCTGATGCAGAGATTGCCATAATCATAGAATCTCAGGCCTAGAAGGGCCAAGAGTACTTGTGTCCAACCCCTTCATTTGACAGATGATGGGGCTGAGCCCAAAGAGGAGAAGCAATATGCCCAAGGTCACCCAGCAAGTCGACCAGATAGCTGTGTGTCTTTGGAGCTTTTCTCCATGTGTGGGAGGGTAAGGGTGTGAACTCAATCTCAGCCTCACCGTTTGCAGGCTAGGAGACACCTTGGGCAAGTCACTTGGCCTCTATGAGCCTTAGTTTCCTCATCTGCAACGTGAGAATGGTGGGAATTTTCTAGAGTGTTGTTGAGGGGATTAAATGGGAGCACTTGAAAGAAAGCACCTGGCAGAATGATTGGGAGGTATTATTGAGTGGAGGTTTGGGGGCAGTAGCTGAGATGATGGTGCCCTATCTGTAGGCTGTGGTCATGTTTAAGGGGCCTGAGAAGAAGCGGTCAAAGGGCCAGAATAAAGTCCTATTTTGGCCACACCTGGTAGGCACCCAACCACCTTCTCCATCTTCCTTCTAAGCCTTTGTTGGGGTGGCTCGGGGCTGGAATGGGGGCCTGTTTGAAAGCAAGAGGTGGGGGAGCTGGTGGGCATGTGGAGTAGGAACTGCTGAGCCTGCGCCCACTCAGGAACCTCCAAACCAGAGCTGGGGAGCAGGGAGCAAGTTCCCTTTAGCTTTTCTCTTCCCTAAGCAACAATCCCATGAGACAGGTAATGTTGACCTTACTTTTCAGATGATGCTTAGAGAGGTTAAAACTTGCCCAAGGTCACACAGCTTATGGAGGTCAGGCTATGGAAGGACATGTTAACCTTCCAAGGTATTTCCAGGAATATACCCAGGCCCCACTCTGGGCAAAGAATGGGGCCGGAAAGGGTCCCTCCAGACTTAAAGTCCTCTCTCAACTCTGTATGCTGAGGCTGGGGAGGGAAAAATTGTGTCCTATGGCTCCTCCCCAAACCCTTTCTCTTGGTCTCTGGAATGTGTTTTTCTTGTCACATTTGCATATGGGCGTGTAGGTCTGGCTGGAGATTCTTGACACTTAAACAAACAGAGAGAAGTCACACACTGGAATCCTGACTCAGGAACCTCTGAAAGCTGCCAGTTTCTTTAGCTTGGCCTGCCTTCCCCACCCACTCCCCTCCATGCTGGCCAGGCCAACACCCCCTCCCCAGTTGACCAGGAGGTCCCAACTCTCTGGTCTTGAGTGGCAAAGTCTGCAAAGAGAAGGTGGGACTTTGGTCTCAGAGGACTGACTCTTTCTAGGCTGCTAGGAACCGGGACAGCGGGGAGATAGGACTCTTGCTGGCCACTAGTACTCACCAGGACTTGGGGGCCATGCTCCTGGCTGGGGTAGGGGAGCCCGTTACACCAGGCCTCTGCTGAGAAGCCAGGCAGGAAGGCCTCGGCCTCCGCCACGTCCACTGGGATCTCCTCGAAGGCCTCCAGCGGCCCCGGGGTCTTAAAGGAGTGTCCATTGAGGGCCAGGGTGGTCTCGGCCTCCAGGAAGCCGTCTTCATGGAAAGGCCGCTTGTACGGGTGGAAGGGCACATGGCTGCCCTTGAGGAATCGCCCGGGGCTGCTTGCTGGGGCCTCCTCAAAGCCAAAGCCAGGATACTTGTCTGAGGGCGAGAGCTGGAAGGGGCCGGGGCCGGGGCCGGCTGGGCAGTGGCCCTGGACTTGCTCGGGGCCTGGTGACGCAATGCGGGGACTGTGTGGGGGTAGTGAGGGTGTCCTCTCTGGAGGGCCGTCGGGCACAAATGATGAGCAGCTGAAGCCGGCATGCTTCTGGGTAGACAGAGAGTAGCGAGCCTGTGAGTGGAGGCTGAACCAGGCCTGGGGACTGGCTGGGACCCTACTCTGTTCTGGGGTAAAGGGGTCTATGGCTGAGCTCTGGGAAGCCCCTAAATGGTGGAGAAGACATAGTTGGCTCTTGGGAGCCCCGATTTCATGAGGGCACCCTGCTGTGAAACCTGGGGTACCCCAAATCTGATGGGGCTCACAGTCCTGCCCTGGGACAGGCCAAGACTGAAGGGATGAGGAGTGACCCCTCTGGATCTCGGGGTCACTGAGGACTTGTTTGCTGGTGGAGGGGACAAGACAGACCCTGGGAGGTCCCTGGGGGTAGTAAGGTGACTGGTCCACCTGCTGCCTGGGCAGCTGCAGGCCTTGGCCTAAACCCAGGCCCGGATGCCAGGTACTTACACTCTGTGGGGCAGGGGAGCCTGGGAGGCCCGGCGCCTGCATGAGGTCCCCTTGGCGCTCGCCCTCCAGTCTGGTGGGGCCCGGCAGCGTGACGTCAGACTGCGGCGGGGGCAGTGACACCATCACCCAGTCCTGGCCTCAAAGAAAGCCGCCTGCCATGAGAGTGAGGACCAGCATCCAGGGGTGACCAACCCAGGTTCGCCACCTCCACCCCAACCCCGTCCTTGGGCTGGGACTCTGCCTCCAGTCAGCCATGTGATGAAAGAGAGAGAGGGATCCAGAGAGAGAGAGAGAGAGAGCGACACAGAGAGAGACAGCAGAGAGAGCAGACCTCTATGGAGAAAGGGCAAAGCAAGCCAGGTAGGAGCCTCAGGAGGGGCTTGGCTGATCTCAGGCTGCAGCGGCAGAGACTGAACCAGTGAGACCCTGGCTCCCAGCTGGGCCCTGCCTCTGGCTCCTCAGGATCGGTCTCCTGTGTCTACAGCAAAGGGCCTGGCAAGGTGACCGCAGCAGGGGGTCTCCATTCAGTGACTGGGCAAGTTGGTGGTCCTGAGGGGAGAGTGAGCTGGTGTGTGGGTCAGACTCATGCTTGGGGTGGGAGCAACCGCCTCCATGCAGGTGAGTCAGCTCTCAGCAGAGGCTGGTCCTGCAGTGACCCATCAGCCTGGCTGACGCGACCACAGTGTGTAACTGGGGAGCCAAAGGTCCCTGGTTGCCTGGCGGCTCTGTGAGCCTAGCGGGCCCTGAGGATGTCACCACCCACACTGCAGCACCTGGCAAGTGCTGTTCCACCTGTGTCCTCCAAACTCTAACCTGTGACTTTGTGCAGGCCACTGCCCCTTTCTGAGCTTCAGTTTCCCCATGAAGACCTAGGAGCTTGGGTACATGATATCGGAGGGCTTTTTCTGCTCAGACCTTCTCCAATCCTAGGGGAATCCTGTCCCTAACACAGTGGGGTGGTTAAGAGGACTCAGGCCTCAAAGCCGGGGTTAGCCCTTCCTCTCAAGCTGTGCCAGCAAAGCTCTCTGAACTTCGGTGCCATCATCTAACTGGGAGAGTGACAGGCCCTACCTCACACAGATGTTCTGAGTGTCAAACAAAATCATGCGCAGAAAGCATTCCGCACAGTGTCTGGTGCACAGTCGGTGCCCCATAAATGCCAGTTCTCATTATGAATATTATTGTGAGTGTGGCTCTCCTTTTTTTTTTTGAGATGGAGTCTCTCTCTGTTACCCAGGCTGGAGTGCAGTTGCGTCATTTTGGCTCACTGCAACCACCGCCTCCCGGGTTCAAGCAATTCTTCTGTCTCAGCCTCAAGAGTAGCTGGGATTACAGGCTTGTACCACCACACCTGGCTATTTTTTGTATTTTTGTTTTTATTTTTATTTATTTGTTTTTTTTGGAGATGGAGTCTCCCTCTGTTGCCCAGGCTGGAGTGTAGTGGCGTGCTGTCAGTTCACTGCAACCTCCACCTCCTGAGTTCAAGTGATTCTCCTGCCTCAGCCTCAAGAGTAGCTGGGACTACAGGCACACGCCACCACACCTGGCTAATTTTTGTATTTTCAGTAGAGAAGGGATTTCACTATTTTGGCCAGGCTGGTCTCCAAATCCTGACCTCAGATGATCTGCCTGCCTCGGCCTCCCAAAGTGCTGGGATTACAGTCTAGCCACCATGCCCGGCCTCTCACTCTTACTATCCTCAGCTTTTTGCCTTCCTTTACCACCTGCAAGAGCAATTCCTCTTGAATGTACTTCTCTTTGCCCAAGTGGTCTCTGATAAAAGCTACAGTTTGCTGAGGGTCTGCTCTGGGCTGGCCACGGTGTGAACTATTTGGATGGTTTTCTCGTCGGTCTATCAGAATAACCCTGTAAAGAAGGAGCATTATTGACCCCACCTTCCAGATGAGGATGCTGAAGCTTAGCGGAGTTACATGACTTGCCCAAGTCACCCAGGGGCAAGAACTCTGGTCTGCCTGACTGTAGACTTTGCACTCTGCTTATGGTTTCTTCATTGGGTGGATGTCAGAGTTGGGATAGGCTAAGCTGGGAGGCCAGACAGCAAGAAAAGCATGAGGTGTACACTCACCCCTTCTACCCAAGACCCCCTCAAGTCGGAGCAGGGCAGCTGTGCTGTTCCCAGGCCATGTTCTTTCCAGAGCTCTGGGAGGGAGAGGTGGCCTCACTGGCCCCGTGGTACCCAGGCTGGGATTGGCACATCTTTGCTGAATAAACCATCAATAAACCTCATTTGACAGAGCGGGTAACAGGGAAAAGGAGGGGAGGCAATTTGCCCAAAGTCCCACAGGATTTGCCCAAAGATCCCACGGGGGATCAGTGGTGGAGGGGCTGGAAGCCGGGTCCAGGTGGGGGCCTGGTGGGAGACTCTCCCGCCCCTTCAAGAGTCCCCACCACCCCTTCTTGACGTCCTGGCGCCTGCTCACTCCGCAATGCTAAATGTGGCGTGACCGGGAAAGCGCCGAGCTGGCCGTAACGGGACACCACAGCGGAGCAGGCATGGGGCCCGAGGTGCGGGGCAGCCCACCTCCCGCTCCGCATCACTGCCTCTTGCTCCCTGGACAGCTCCTCCTGGACAGCTCGGGCCTGCCTGGCGGCCACACCTCACCTTGGCCCAGAGCTGCCTTCTCGGGAGGTGGTGCAGTGGGCTTGGCACCTTCCCAAGGCATCCTCCAGCTCCAAATGGGAGACTGGGGGCCCTTCCTCCCCGCCAGATGTCAGGCTTTGTAACCTGGGCAGGGTGGCCACTCTCCTCCCTGCAGGTGGGGTAGCACAATGGTTTAGAGCAAGGATTTGGAGTCAAGCCCAGCTGAATTCCAGCCCCAACTCTGTCACTTTCTGACTGTGTGACTTTGAACAAACTGTGTAGCTCTCTGTGCCTCACTTTCTGCAGCTGGGAAATGGGGCACACGGACCCACCTCACAGGGTCATTGTGAGGATGGTGTGCACAAGGTGCTGGCACAGGGAAAATGCTCAAGGCCACGTGTCATACATCTGGCCTCTGTTGGCCAAGTGTGGCTGGGCCCAGGGGCCTTTGGCCCCAGGCTCTACAGCTTCTCTGATGCTCTCGCTGCCTCAGGCCTGGCAGCCCTGGGGCGACTGGCTGATGACGAAGCCCCAGGTGGCAGCTGCCCCTGCTAGCCCTCCCTACCTGCCTGCCTTCACTCAGCCTGGCTTAGACTCCAGCACTGCTGCCCTGCAGATGTGAACCTGGGGAGGCCTCTCTGAGCTCCAGCTCAGGCGTGCACCACCTCCTGAGGGTCTGGCCTGCCCGGAATGATCCCCACAGTGTTGGCCTCGCCCCATTCTTGCACCTGTTCCCTATTCCCCAGGACATCATCTCCAGCTCCAGCCGAGTTCCTGCATGTCAGAGGCCTTAACAGAGGCTTCAGTTCACAGCCATGACTTTCACAGCCTGGCTTGGCCAAACCATCCCGCTACCTCTTCCAATCCCCTGGGGCCAGGATGAGAACCAGGGAAGTTATGCAGAGTTCAGAGGCCCACCCCTTAATTTGCATGAAGGATGCAGAGGTTCCTACTGGTCTTCAGGGATTCCTCTGGGTAGGTTTTGTAAGTGGGGACTCCTGTTTTGGTGACCATGATGCCCCTTGGTTGCAGCTAAAGCTCTATTCTACAGGTGAGGCCCAGGGAACAGGTAAAGTGACTTTCCTAAGGCCACACGGCCCAGGAGAGAGGGGGTCCTCAGGGGCTGGTCAGAAGGCCTCTGACTGGTGTTTATGAGGGGCTCCTGTGCAGCACTAGGAAAGGCTCACTGCAGGAACCTGGATGAGGCTGCCTTGGTCCTGACACTTCCCTGGAGTAACTGGCAGAGCCCCTGAAGCTGGATGACCTGGAGTCAGGGCTGGATTTGAATCACAGGAACTGTGGGACTTTGGTTGGGCATGATGCTTAACTTCCTTCCCCATGCCTCAGTTTCCTCGTCTGTAAAATAGGACTAATAAATACATTCCTCTCTGGAGGATTAATAAAATATTGCTTGTAAATAGCTTAACACACAGTACTTGCTCAATAAATGATAGCTATTATTAATAATTAGCAGTGGGACAGAGTTTATTTAAGGCCTGAGTTATGGGCTGAGTGTGGGGGAGCATCAGGAAGGGAACTCCCCTTTCCTGCCTTCTCCTGCCTCCTACCTCCAGGTCCTTGACATTGTCCTCTCCCATTGGCAGAGGCTAAACTTCCCTCTTCCTGACTCTCTGGCCTCAGAGGTCATTTCCGCCATTCCCATGTGGTAGAGCTAGTGTCTGTAGAAACTCCTGGGGACTTACATGGAGAGGAAGGGGGTTGACTCTGTTGTTTTGGATCTCTCGGGAGGTCTCTCTGCTGGCCCCAGTGTCCTGGGGCTGACATCTGCATTCAGAAGGGATCTTTCATAGAAGTCTAATCTTTATCCTGCCTGTTCCAGTTTCAGGGAGCACTGGAACTGGATAGAATGTGTGTGCAAGTATCAGCAAATTCCAGCACAGGAGGCCCAGTCAACTCTCCTGCTTTCTCAGATTCCAGGAGCTCCTCCAGATCACTCTCATGACCTGCCCCTTAATATGGGTACCCACAAACCACAATCCACAGCCACCTGCTTCCTGGCCGAGGCTCTCACTGGCAGACTGCCCTGGCGTCCCTTCGTCGCAGCTCCACATCTGCAGTGCACTCTAAAGTTTCCTCTGCACTTTTTTTTTTTTTTTTGATACAAGGGCTTGCTGTTGCCCAGGCTGGAGTGCAGTGGCATGACCATCACTCACTGCAGCCTCGACCTCCTGGGCTCAAGTGATCCTCCCGCCTCAGCCTCCCAAAGTGCGGAGATTACCGCGCCTAGCCTCTCTGCACTTTTGTATCTCTTGTCTCATGTTATCCTCCCTTTGCCCCGGAGGATAGGGGGCAGTGGTGTGCAGAGCCAGTTGGTAGGGGCTCATGAGAGTCAATTGTGCCCATTTCTTCCCAACTCCATGTCCAGCGAAATTGGTGGAGATCAGCCACAGTGGGAGTATTTGCCCATGGAAATTAGCAAATCCTACAAATCAGAGCCTTTTTAAACATTATGATTTATTTACTTTTGAAAGCTGACTGGTTAGCATTTACCAACACACCACTGGCAGGGGAGCAAGGTCATTAAGCCC